ATTTTTGTTTTTTATATACACGTTTTTGGAGTTGTTATGGAGTGAAGGAATTTTGAATTCTTCACCATATGAAAGGATTCACTTCTGTAAAAACGTATTTGACCTATTATAATTTGTAAGTCAAGCTTAAAGGTGCACAGGGAGAGTATTTTGAGCACATCATGTCTTCTGGAAAGTGACTGTTAAAAGCACTGTTTTTTATATACACGTTTTTGGAGTTGTGATAGAGTGAAGGAATTTTGGATTCTTCGCCACATGAAAGGATTCACTTCTGTAAAAATGCAGTTGACCTATTATAATATGTAGGTCAAACTTATCGGTGAGCAGGGAGAGTATCTTGAGCACAAGCATGTCTTCTGGAAAGTGACTGTTAAACTCACTAATTTGGACATTCTGTGATTTGGGAGTTGGACTTTTATTGGAGTGTGGATTTATCTTGCATGGGATTGCTGGAAAATTTTTTTAATTTCATTTATGTCTGGATGGAGTTAGAACACTACACATTCTTGGTTTATATACACAGAGCCTGGTGTAGCTTTTCCTGTTATAATACTAAAGGGTCTATTTATAAAACAACACTATGTGAAGGCCTCATCATTCACACAAAAGTAGCCAAAAATACCTGCAATGTTTATAAAATGTCTGTTTCTGTATGCTGTTGTGAATGTAACATTCCCTAACCTTCAATCCTAAGAGAAAAGGCCTTAAGTGCATTCAAGCAGAAGAGCTAAAGAACCTTTGACCAGTAGAGAAAATGGTAAGACATTACAGACATTTGACCAGAAGAAGAAATGATATGAGGGAGACCTCTGTACTGTGTACAAAGTCTATGGAGATTCCTGTGCTCACCACCAACAGTGTAATGTATCAGCAATCAGTGCTATACAGAATTGATATAATGTTGCAGAGATGGATTAGTGGCAGGGGAGTTTACAGGCACTTGTGCATTCGGGAGACATGCTTTGGAGCATAAAAACACTCAAAAGGGCATTAATGCTTAGTATAGCACATTACAGTGCATTGATGCTAGGTGCGTTAATGTGCATCCCTGCATTACTGCATACTGGATAAGTCTGGCTAATAGAATGCATTCAAAGAACAGAGGTATACTGCTCAGGCAAACAATCAAGATCAATCCACGAGAGGTGCAGGCTCTGACTTGCCACCACACACGAGGCAATAGGAAGAAGGGTCAGCCGCACACCGGTACCATTTATTGCTATGATAAGCACGAGATTGTGTGAAATGTGAGGTCCTGTATTTATGTCTTGGTGTTTTGCGTGTTCTATGGATCAATAATGCACAATATATCCATCAATCCTCCGGTGTGCGGCTGACCCTTCTTCCTGTTGCAATAGAATGCATTAACGCCAGATGCAGGAACACACCTTAACCACCTCCTGTCCGGCCGTTGTATATAAACGTCTGAACGGTGGCAGTGCAGGGTCGGGTGGCCGTTTATAAACGGCCCCTTCGCCCCCTGCTTGTGCACACTCCCTGGGATTGCACAGCACCGCAATCCGATGCCCACTGTGTCCTCCAGACACAGTGGAACACCGATCGTTGGACGGGACCTCTCTGCGAAGTCCCGATCATGTGATCACTGATTGGCCAATCAGTGATCACATGCAGAGTAGTAAGCAAAATGTCACTTCTGACATCATTGCTTACTATGTGTGAAATCTGTGAATGATCACAGAGGTCACATGGTACAAAGCTATTCACAACAGCCTTGTACCATGTGACAAGCTGTCACCAATCACAGCTCACACAGTAATTCTCAATGGCTGCAAGAATGCAGCCAGAGAGAAGGAGAAAAATTATTGCTTTTACAGCCTTTATGGGTGTAAAAACAAAGTGTAAAAAAAAAGAAAATCTTCATCACCCCCCACAAGTAGTACAGTGTCACCATGGACACTGTACTGCTAGGGTGACAGTATGTGAAAAAAAAAAACATAAATAATAATATAAAAAAATAAAATAAAAATAAAAAAAAATGTTTAAAAATTATCATTTTTGGTTATAAACTAATTTGGGCTATTTTTTTTTTACTAAAAAGATAACGGAATAAATTTTGGCCAAGATTTATGGTGAAATATAATTTTATTTGCAAAATTTTATACACTTTTATTTCAAAATTTTTGGACATTTTCATTTACATAGCAAAGAAAATAAAAATCCCAGTGGTGAATAACAACCGCCAAAATAAAGCTTTATCTGTCTCAAAAAAATGCTAAAAAAATTCATATGGTACAGTGTTGCATGACCACACAATTGTCATTCAAAGTGTGATAGCACTGAAAGCTGAAAATTGGCCAGGACAGGAAGGGGGTGAAAGTGTCCGGACTGGAAGTGATTAAAACATGTGAACGCATGTTAGCGCCTAAAACTCAGCTTATTACTGTGTTTTTGATGCTACATACTCCTGAAGGAGAAAAAAAAGTTTTAAAGCTGACCGTGTGCATGAGGCCTTTTATAGTGCGAAAAGCAACAATTAGAAAGTGGCATTTCACAAATATTAGAAAATATTATAAAAAGAGATTATTTGTTCTTCTACGTGAATGTTTAGACATTCATGTAGCAATTTTACTTTATAAATAGATCCCTTAGAGTTATAACAAGAAAAGCTGCAAACCCAGAATACTTTCTCACATAGACTGTGAAAGTTCCTCATTAGAGATGAAACTCCTATTGCAGGAGATGTCTGTTATTTCACACCAAGCTCCGTGCAGACCTGCTGGAGGTATTTAAAAAAAAAAAAAAAAGCAAAACACCAAACACTGCCATTAAGACATTTAAAAAAAAAAGTCACTGGGAAGGTCTGTATCAAATCTGCCTAACAAATATAGGTTCTGCAATGAAGTTTGTTGAAATAATAAAGGAGCTGAAAGGGATTGATGTTTTTATTTCAAGCAGGAGTTGCTGTAAAAATCCCAGCAGCCTCAGTTCCCATCTAATATACTTATCGCCTACTAAATGCATTACCTATAGGTGTGGCTGCTGTATGGCAGTTCATACAATGTGCAGGATTTCTGTTGGAGATGACCCCTAGCAGCAGATTAGCATGGTCCAACACATGCTCAGAAGTCTTCTTGCACAAAGCAAGTCTTTTGGGTACTGAATGCTAAAATCCACTGTTGATCTTAAATTTAATGTTGAACATTGAGCCCGGAAACAAAGCGACAGAGAAATGGTTATTCTTACGGCTTATTTATTTTGTAATTTCCTGTTTTGCCTGAAGTTCTTTAAAAATCTGCAATATAAAAACATCTGTATTTTAAAAGCTACCCACCACTGACATCTAGTGGTACATTTTTAGAATGACAGACATAAAATATTTCTCCACAGTCAGCCTTGTTGTAGTCCTTGCTTCTAATTTACTAGGTAGAATTTTATGTTGGCATAATTCTGCAGGTCAGATGGCTTAGATATGAAATGGTAGCTATTAGACCTGAAAAGCTATTTCCAGCAAGAATGAGCTAAGGTGATAAAAATGTGATTTTCTATATTTTTTGGAATTCCATTCCATTTTATGTCCTTGCATATTTTCTCATAAAAGCTACATTGAAGCAGTTTTGTGGTAATATAAATAAATAAAAACACTAATTTTGCATACAAAAATTGTTTTTATCCTATAATATGACAATCTTTTTAAAGTTCAATTATGCAGCTGTAGCAGTCTTTTTATTAGTGAAGCTTTAGACTGTACAAAATGAAGGATTTTCTACAATGTCTGATAGTTGTCATTTTAATGTGCAGTTCAGTTAAAGTGGAACTCAGATTATTTATAACAAATCATGTAGCAAACAGGTATTTATTACATCTCACAGAGATCACATTAGTACCCCTTAAAATGCCCCTGTCTGCTATTCTCATGTGTCATCTTTATTCAGGCATCATCTATGGTCATCATCTATTTCTAGACTGCTTGGTCAGTAAATTCTAGTGCCTGTGTAGTAGCGTTGGGACAAGGCTCTTTGGCAATCATGGCATAGGTGCCAAAGTATGGCCCGCTTCCTACGGTGAGATGAACTGGGCTTCCATTTATGCAAATCAAAGCCTAGTACACACTGGGCTGGGTTGAACAGAAAAAGAAGGTGTACAAGAAGGCCTCTCCACCCCTCTATTTTAACTAGGTCTTCTTGTAAAGTTTCTATATGCTGTTGTGAAGTTATTGCATTGCTTAGCTTTGTATCATCATCAAACACAGAGATTGAACTATTTATTTTAACCTCTATATAATTTATTAACAAGTTAAACAGAATTGGTTCCAGGAGAAAGCTCACAAATCCAGACTTTTCAGAGAATATGCCATTAATCACCATCCGCTAGACAAGCTCTTGCAACTAGTTTCCTATCCAGGTACATACCATGTCATTAATGCCACAGAGCTTCATTTGCAGAATAGCTGTTTGTGGGGTTCTGTATCAAAAGCCTTAGTAAAATCTAAATACACTTCATTCAAAGGCCTTCCTCTATTTAATATTACAGCTCACCTCTTCATAGAACGGTTAAGGTTGATCTAGCAAGAATGGTTTTTCATAAATCCATGTTGGTTACAACTAATGACACTAATGATACCTTCTTGGGTATGGTCATTTATTATTCCTTCCAGTAGTTTACATACTATTAATGTTAGGCTGACTGGTGTGCAGTTACCAAGTATATATCTCATCCCTTCTTTTAATATTGGTACCATATTTGCTTTTTGCCAATCAGCTGGTGCCATACCAGTCAGTAAATTGTCCTTAAAATTAGGAATAATGATCTGGCTATGACATGGCTAAGTTCTTTGAGGACTTTCAGCCATCTGGTCCTCCTAATTTATTCGCATTAAGGCTTCATGCACACTATCTTTAACCTCTCTGGAGGTATTCCCGAGTGTAGCTCGGGGTAAAGTTTTTCAGCACCACAAGCGGTAACCCCGAGCTACACTCAGGAATACCTTGCAGCGTAGCTCCGGGATCTCTTCTGCACTTACCTTGTCCTGCGCTCCAGCGATGTCCTCCCTGCAGTGTCCCTGGCAATGTCCTCCGGCCGATGCCAGCATCTGTCTTCCGGGGGTTCCGCTTCGGGATGTCAGAACGTCAGGACGTTCAGGGATGGAACTGGCGGGAAATTTTAAAATTTTAAAAGTGACATTCACTAAAATCACATAGTAAAACATTACTGTATCAAACCATTTCACATACATTTTGTCCCTAGTGCTTTGTCCTGTGCCCTGCCTGCATTTTTACTGTTCTTTCTGCCTGGAAACTGAGAAAAGTCCATGGCGTCCAAAAACATCCCTTTAGGTCAAAAGCGGTTTTAGACCAGCTAGAGAACAGAGATAGTAAATTAGAACCACTTGCAGAATTGAGTGATAATGATTTGTGGGGAAATTCGTCATCTGACACTGAAAACGATTTTGCGACTTTGCTCAGTGATGTGCGAACTTGGCGCTATATTTCAAATTTCAGTGTTTTTGTTTGATTATATTATGGAATTAAATTTATTATTATTATATTATTATTATATTTTTATGATTATTTATTAAATTATAATTTATGATTTCGTGTTTCAAATTTTAACATACCCAGAATGTTTACTAGACTCTTGTTCAGACAGATTTCAGTGAGTTATTCCTAAAAATTACACGCCTATAATAAAAAAAATACATATTTCAATGCAACAAAAGTACCGCTTTGAGCACAGAAATATGGACATAATCAGACCACTAGGGAGGCTACACTAAGCTCCTAGCAGCTACTTATGAACTTTTTTTTTCTGCCCCTAGAAGCTGCATGTTTGGATAATAGTCTAGTATGAATTTGGAGGGGAACCACACTGGGTTTTTTTCTTCAAATTTTAATTGCCTGCAATTCTTTTGTTTACAATCAGCTGTCAATGGGTTGTTATCTGTTGTTAAGGACACGAGTGGGCCAGCTTGCCACCCGCTCCTTAACAACCAGCTATACACTGCAAAACGCCAGCAAAACACTGACACAAAAACAGAGAAACATTGGAAGAAATGCTCATACAAGAGTTTTTTTTTATCCAGTGTTTTTCTGGTGTTTTTTTAAAGCTGCTAATGTGCATGGAGCCTTATGCAGCTCGCCAATTCTTAGATGGGATGGCTGCATTGTTGTTCTTTTTAAGTTTTCTTTCTTTTATTTTCACCTGGTGATCTAGACAGACTGTTGTTTTTCAACACAACAAGCTCTCCTGCAAATGTATCAATTTAGAGTCTTGGGACAAACCATTTAACATTCAAAGGGGTGCTTTACAATGATCAACATTTATTTAATCATTAACCTCTAACCCAAAAGAAAAAAAAGCTGTTCCTGCAATTGCTTTTAAACTGCAGTGTGAGCTGGATTTTGGTTTCAGTTTGTTAGTGTCTTTAAATTTGCTAATCCATCTAATGCTCCCTTCCTCCCAGAATAACAATGCTGTTGTCTACTGTGCCTCCAGTCCTCCTTTATCCAGAGTGGGGGCACACTAATACAGTAGTGTGTTACTGGCCAGATCATCAGGTGAAAACAGAGAGAAAAAAGCCTTCAAAAAAAAGAAAACGAATGCAGCCACCACATCTATTGATTGGTACGCTGCAATATATTACATTTTTTGGCTTAATACTGCTTTAAGTTTTTCTAGTCTTTTTTGAACACTGGTTTCTGTCCATCACAAGGGTACATTTAATATAATCATATTAACATTACTGTCTTCTTTATTATATCCTTTTCCATCATATAAAGGAGAAGAATATAGTTAATACAGTTGCCCTCTCCCTGTCACATGTGACCGATTTCTCCCATTCATCTTTTTTGTGGCCCATGTGTCTTAACCCAGCCTTTTTACTATTGGTATGATTGAAAACATTTCTGGGATTTTTTTTCCTCAGCAATATGTCTTTTGTAATTTAGTTTAGTTACTCTGATCACACACTTGCATTTCTTATTGCACTTCTTGTAATTTGTAATTGAAATGCTGATGGTGACCCTTTGGCCTTATATTTATCAAAGGACTGTGTTTTTCTAATTATTATACCTTTTTAAAGTAGTGTTTAGCCAGCCAGGTTTAACTTTTGTTTTTTTATATTTGTTACCCAGTGGAATGCATTGACGAATGTTGTTTAATATGCCCTTAAATCACTCCTACTTATATTCAGTGTTCTTTCTTGCAATTATTTGATCCCGTTTAGAGTCATGTATGGATCCTAACTTATTAAAGTTGGCTCTTTTAAAATTTTAGTGTTCTTGCCCTACCCTCATGTGTTCATTTCCTATAATTTATAGTAAATGTAATTACTCTGTGAGCAGTGTTACCTAAATCTCTTATTTCCACATCTGCAATCAGCTATTTGTTATTTGTAATTAGTTGGTTGGGAAAGCATAATCTCTAGTTGGGGCTGACACCATTTGACTCAAGAAATTGTCTTGCATTACATTCAATAAATTGGGTTCCTTAGTTGTGTGTGAGCAGTTCTGTCTGCCCAATCAATATCAGGATAATTGAAGTCCCCATGATTATAGCATGCCTGGCTTCCCACCATCTCAAACTGTGAAAGCCTCCTCCTCCACCTTAATGTCAAGGTGTCTGTAGCATAGACCCACTAATAATTTACTGTTTGTTTTGATCCTTTGAATCTCCAGCCACAAAGATGCCACCTCCTTCACCAGCCCCATTAGCAATGTCCTTCCTTGTATTTACTATCAAATAGCTCTTCACATAAAATCACACTCTCCGCCTTTCCTACCCACCCTGTCCCTCCAATACAGAGAGTACCCCTGGACATGTGAGCTGTCAAACCATATTTTGTTTTGATTGTAACACTTTATGTTTAATTTATAACATTAATTTGTCATAACATTTAGCAGTCTGACCACTGGTGGAGAGGACCAAGGACCACCTGCAGCAGACCAATAACATTATGCCAGTCTAGGTAAATTCACTGGACTGAAGCTCAAAAACATCTTCTTAATGATAAAATGTATAACATTTTGGGAAAAATTATAATGTTTCTTTATTTTGTGACATCAAATCATTATTTTTGTGTCATGAGATTCACTATGCAAACTGCGTAGGCCATTTATTGATGCAAATGTGTGGTTTTAAAAATGTGTCTGAAATAAGTCTTTAGGCACTGGTAACATTCCCTTTAGCTACTGCCCATCCCAGTCAGAGAGATGATTAGGTAATCCTTACTTTAAATGGGTAGGAGGGGCCTGACCTACAGTCAGAATAAGGCAAAAAAGTGACTGGCAGGTTCAACCAAACACTTCATATGGAAGAATACATGATTTTTATATAATACACATTTGTGAACATGTACTGTACATAGAAAACATAAATATTTAGGGTAACATACACTTTAAAGTGACACTAAACTCTGGTTTAAAAAAGAAAATTCTGTTCAAGTATGTATTCCTTTGCTCTTAGCCTCCGCCAAATCTCAATTTTTTTTTTCCTTTGATTTGACTTCCTATTAGAGTGGTGGCTACGTTAATTCCACATGGTCCCACTGTATGTAGGAAAATAGCAACCCTCTCCTGAGATAGACTAGAGACTATAAAGCTGATTACTAAAGGCAAATAGCCTGTGTACCTTGCAATGCAGTTGCTCCAGAGCTTAGTAAATGAAGGGAAGCTCTGCTGACCTCCATCATCAAATCATATGCAAAAAAATACTGTTGTTTTTTTTAAGTTTCCCTTGCATGTGATTGGGTATTCTTTGTAAAGTGAAGCTTATCTCATTTACTAAACTCTGGAGCAATTGCACCTGCAAAGTGCACAGCCTATTTGCCTTTAGTAAATCATCCCCTATGGAATATAGGCTAAGAGATTTGTAGAATGCACAGAGCAATGCACATGACTAAAACTGTATGTATTGCATGTTCCTAACAAATATCAGGGGAAAAGGGAGAGGTTTGAGAGCTCAAGGAGGATTTTACAAAGTGACAGAAGAACACAGTAAGAAATTATTTAGTGTTACTAAACCCACAACCGTAAAATCAGTCTGTATATGTAGTAAAGCATGCTTGTTATACTCACTGTGGAACCTAAGGGGTTAATCCTCTGCATTGTGTAAAAAGGCTGTTTTGATTCTTTCTTCTCTGTTCCTCCCCTTTTTCAAGCAACCACCACTTATTTCCAGACTGAACCATAGGCATGCACATGCTCAGTTTGGTGTATATTGATAGAGATTTTTTTTTTTTTTTGGGAGAGTGCATGTGACACTGTTCAACAAATTTTTATTTTTTGCCAGTTTTTTGGAAACAAAAGGATCCATTTCTTAATGAATTTCTGAGTTCAAATATAACAATGCAATTTGTCAATTGGCTCTAGTTTTTCTGTAAACGGAAAGTTTTCTACTATAGGCATAATGACTACATAATGCACAATAATTATATAGATAGATGTCTTTCCACAAATATAAAGCAAGTGATATTGACTACATAACAAAGCCTAAATGGCATAATATATTGCATAGGGATTACCAAGAAAAATTATAGCCATAAGCTAAGTTGAATCATTTTAATACTTAGGATTCTCACTAGTTTTGTCTTCAGTTTGTGTCGGTTTTGCTTCTCTTGGCTTTTCTCTTGTATTCGAGGAAAGGGCTATCTCTTACAACTGCACGTGACTACACGCTTCAGGTTCTTCCTCACTTGACTCAACACGAAGGATTCTGGTGCTTTAGGAATTGGTAGCCCCTCTCCATGAGGAACTGGACGTATTGCCGATGGAATATTTGGATAGTGCACAGATAACTTTTTCTTCTTATTTAGCCCTTTTACAATTGGAGGCACCATAAAAAAAGTAACAATTACTAACATGATCTGTTGGCTCTCTCCAAATCATTGGCACAGCGAAAGGCATAGATGCCTTTTTTCCATTCAACCATTGCTCCAGTGCCGTCCCACAAGAATTGCAGCATATATGTGGTGCCCAGCTCTTGTCCTGGTCTCCTATCTTGCAGCCAAAATACAAGTTGTAGGCTTTCTTAACCTCCCTGGCGGTATGATTATTTCAGATTTTTGGTGCTGAAAGCGGTACCATTTTTTTGCATGGAAATATGTATTTTTTTTATTGTAGGCTGTAATTTTTAGGAAAAACTCACTGAAATCTGTCCGAACAAGAGTCTAGTAAACATCCCGGGTATGATAAAATTTGAAACACAAAATCATAAATTATAATTTAATAAATAATCACAAAAATAATATAAAAATAATAAAAAAAATTAATTCAATAATATAATCAAACCAAAAACACTGAAATGTGAAATATAGCGCCAAGTTCGCACATTGCTGAGCTCAGTCGCAAAATCGTTTTCAGTCTCTGATGACGAATTTCCCCCACGAATCATTATCACTCAATTCTGCAAGTGGTTCTGATTTACTATCGCTGTTCTCTAGCTGATCTAAACCGCTTTTGACCTAAAGGGACACTTTTTGGACGCCATGGACATTTCTCAGTTTCCAGGCAGAAAGAACAGACAAAATGCAGGCAGGGCGCAGGACAAAGCACTAGGGACAATATGTATGTGAAATTGGTTGAGACAGCAATGTTTTACTATGTAAAATGTAAAAAAAAAAAAAAGACATTTTTTAAAATTTTTAAATTTCCCGCCCGCCGGCGGCGCCCGTACGTCCCGACGTCACAGGGACAGGACACAGAAGCCGGATGCCAGCATCGGCCGGAGGAGATGGCCGGGGACGCTGCAGGGGACACATTGTGGGAGCGCAGGGTAAGGTAAGTGAAGAACACATGCCGGAGCAGTGCCGCATGGTATTCCCGAGTGTAGCTCGGGGTTACCGCTTTTGGTACTGAAATGTTACCCCGAGCTACACTCGGGAAATACCGCCAGGAGGTTAATCATTCCTGTTATCCTCCTTTTTTGTGAGATAAAAGTTATTTTCACCGCAGATATAGCAGAAATTATCTGCTTTAATTCACACACAAGTTCGAGGCATTACTGAGTAGCCTATATAAGCATAAAACGAAATGTAAAGACGCTGTCGAACTACAATCAGCTACAGATACTGCAGCTTTTATGCAGTGAAGTGATGTAATTAAAGGCTAATATTGCATCATCTCAGTATACATGCAATTTTCTATTGGTCACCAGTATCAATTGCGCAATATGCAGCTGAAGTTGCATCATAATTTTGAATGGCTTACGTCATTAGATGGGTGAATATATCATGGAAACTAGAGCCAATCAACATTTTTTAGGGTCATTTTCGTTTTCAGCACCCCAAAATTATGTAAGATTAGCTAATTTTTATGCCCAAAACTTTTTACCTGTTGAACAGTGTGATCAGCACAGGGCCAACCAGCACATTCCAGACAGAGGTCAGGGGATTTCCATCCTCCTAGAGCAGAAAGAAAACTCCTCCTACAAGCTTTAGCTAGTGCTGGACTGGACACAGATAGAAGCCACAAGACTGATCTAACTGCTGATGAGAAGAGGTATTTATCAGTTTATATTTACTAAAATAATTGCATTTCCAGGTTGTGTTTACTGTGGGAGACCAGATATAGTGAATTCAGGGTCCTGGGTTTAGTAATATTTTAATGAAAATTAGATTACAGGATCATTAAGTAGTGGATGTGTATGGATTATTTTTAGAAAATAAGGAAATTGTGTCACTTTAACCATTCAACACTATATCCAATAGGAGAAAATAAAAGGTTGGGGCTTCAAATGTTCTTTAACTTGAGTTGCTGAATACCAACATGCCAAAATATTTTTCTTAGTGACAATTTCCCTTTAAATCATAGAGAAAATCTCTTTATATTTTATCTATACCATTATGTAGCCATTATTGTTTTCTGTTCTTTTTTGTTTTGTGTGTTTATTTTCTTTGCACAAAGTTAAGACAAATGAAGAAAGAGTAGATGAGAGAGCCCCACACTTGGTTGTAGCATTGGCATTTTGTTATCATTATCATGCAGCGGTAATGCATGGTAGGCAGCAAACATTGTAATCTCATAAATCAGAGCTCCATACACTGCTTTATGTATTCCACCGTGCTTCTTCTGAATGCAGCATAGAGACAGCTACAGCAATTACATATCAATCAGTTCTGAGTTTGCTGTACACATCTCTGATGAAATATGTAAATAAGGCTGGATATATGTTATAACTACAGATATTTGGAAGAGAGCTGAAAAACTGATACAAAAACCAGAGAGACAGAAAAAATAATGTAAGCCTGTTAGGTAATGCAGTATTTGGCCTTTTATTTAATAAGCAACAAAAATGAGTACATGAAACATGAAATTATCTTTTCGTTCTCCATTTATTATGCAGCCAAGATCTGTCATCTGATGAGAGACTTGCCCACTACTGCTCTCTGTACTGGGGTATAGAACATAGTGCATTCTACCTTGTTCCTGTCTAATGACGTTTCAAGCCTTTGTCTTTTCCAGTTCACTGAAATTGTTACATGGATTCTTTAAAGATACTTTTCCCATTCAATGTGAAGTGACAGAGTCTCTGAAAAGCCCACTCCCATCTATTTATACTCATGTTTACAGATCACCCCCACCACTCTTTCTTCTGTTGGTGTCAGGAATCAAAACATGTGTGCGCTACCTGTTGGATGGTGTCAGAGCTTACACCCTCCACCTCTTGTGACAGTGTTCAGGCCTGAAGATTGGTCAATCACACTCCAGAATTTCATCCAGGGAGGAAAATATATGCTATCCCATACCCACAAGTATTGTGAATTCCACAAGCATTTATACAGCACATAAAAGCAGTGGGATAGCGCTGTAGAGATAAGCATGAGTGGGTCATGGATGGGCTTTCAAGAGACTCTGTCAGTTTTCCCATTCAGTCTTTTGAAAGAAATCATATTTGTGGGGGACTGGGCTTGTTGTGTGGAGGGAGCTCCAGGAGAGGGATCACGGTGTTAGTGGGAAAGCAGTGCGGACAGGAAGGTGACAATTTTGGTAGTCTGGTGGCTGCGAAGAACCTTCTATGGCTGCTGAGAACCTTCTATGACTAGTTGTATAGTGTGACCTGGAGTGAGAAGGCCTGGGAGTCTGTGTAGGGGGCAAAAGGCAAGTAATCCATTATATGTTCTCTAGCCCTTTTCGCAAACATAGTCCAGTGCCACTGTCAACCTATATGCACATCAACAAGAAAGGTGATATTGTAGACATCAAGGGTACAGGCACAATCCAAAAAGCTACGCCACACAAGTACTACCATGGCAATCCTGACCAGATCTATAATGTCACACAGCATGCAAACAATTCAAAGGTAAGATTCTTGCCAAAAAAATCAATGTCTGTGTAGAGCACTGACAGCGCAGCACAACTATCAGCTTTTTCTCCTGAAAAACACATAAGTACCGTGTTAATTGTTCTTCAGGATGAACATCTGGGACCAGAGTGGACTTTCAGCTTAGTCAGAGATCAGTTGTGTGTACACACACAGGTTTGTGGTGTATACAGCAGTGGACTCTATGGGTTTATTTACTAAAGCTGGAGAGTCCAAAATCAGACTCCCTTCTGCATAGAAACCAATCAGCTTCTAACCTCAGCTTGTTCAATGAAGCTTTGACAATGAAACCTGGAAGCTGATTGGTTTCTATGCAGAAGTGAGTCTGATTTGGCACTCTCCAGCTTTAGTAAATACACCCCTATGTGTTTTTCTTCCCTTCCTCAACTTCCTCCACCACATCCCAAGTAGCAGAGCTGCATGGATTGTCTGTACTCAGAGCCACCCAAGAACAGCTTGGCTCATTGATATTATTGGTTAACCCATTGGTTATTTCTACAGTGGTGCTTAGAAAAGGAGTTACAAAAATATGAGTCCACTAATTTATTATTTTAAAGACATACAGTGGTAGGCAAGTGGTAAGGATTTAGGAAAACTGCAGAATTTTGACCTGTAAAATTTTCCATTGTATGTCGAGCTATTAATTTATTGAAAGGTTGTTTTGCCTCCCATATGTACAGGTGTTTTCATTCCTCACTACACTGCACTGCATATACCAAGTTACTTTGCTTGTGTTTGGGTGTTGGGTATTTTCTGTCTTAGTATTGCTGGAAAGACACAGGAATACCGTGTTTAATAAAGATTCCTCTTAGTACTTTTTAGCTTCTAGCAACATAGAGAATGACTATTACTTGATATATCCTACTTTTCCATTCAGTTTTATGGTCACATGTTTTTGCTTGTGAAAATTTTGACAAAAGCTGAGTCTGGTTAGTTACAAACTTTAAAAGAACTTCTGAGATGTCTGCGTCCTTTGTCTTTAGACTCTATTATCATATCAGCTCCATGCTTTTGAGTTTAATAACCCCTAGTTTGTCCAATCACATATGGAATAGAGAACCATTCCCCTCTCACTCTAGAGACAATTGCTTTATATTGAAACTAGCAAGGTATGTTCTTGTGCAATGAACTGTTTCACTTCCATGACATATAGAAACCTAATTTACTGAAACACAGCTATAGAAATCTGGACAGGTAGGACATTTAGTGAATGGACTTCCTACTTTAGCTATTCTTTTTGGAAAACATGCAGGCTCTTCTACTAACATGCAAAGGGAAGCAGTTTGGGTTATTGCATCATATATTATACCATCATTTTATAATTTTCTCACAGCCATCTACTTGTACATAATCAATTTTCCAATAAGTGGATATAAGCTTTTGCCAATTTTCTATTCTAAACTAATAATGCAATTACTAATTTCATCTGATTATAAATACTGAATATCTGATTTTCATAAAATTTTACTACTTTTTTATGACAATATAAAAATTTCTTATATACTTTTCTTCACCTCAGCAGATAAAACACTGTAAATGTGTGACATATTAAGTACATTTTGTCCTCGGGTGCTGGGCATTCAAGTGTTTTAGTAATGGAGAACAAAACAATATATTATTCCATTTCAGCAACTTCTCTTCCACACACAGTTATAAAAGCTGAGCTCTTTCAAGGCTGCTGAGCAACAGTCCATTGGCATTTAAACATATTTATATGACTCGAGGATCACAAGCTAATAAATTCAAGATGCCCACAATGGTTTCATTCTAAAATTGATTGTCATTCATTTGTCATTGTACATTAAAGACTTACCCACAGATAGATGACAAAGTCTACAATCATGCTTCTTAAAGCAAAAATAAATAAATAAAACTTTAAGGGGTCTAAGTATAAAAAAAAATTGCTATGCGGTTGTCTTAAGCATTCGAACAAGCACTACAAATTTTTGTTGTATTGTTTGTAATATGACTCTACTACGATCGCCAGCTCTATCTAGAGGCCATAATGAAATTTTTTTTTTAAGTACTTTAATTAAATAATGCCACCTTCCTTGAAACTCTGGCCATGCACTTCCTTACTCACATCAATGTGATAAGTGGCTTGAGAAGGCAGGATGGAGTTGAGCCAGGCTCTTGAGCGAAGTATTTTCATGCCTGAGTGCTCCACAATTTGGGGGCCTTCATTCAATGAATATGGAAACTGAATTGATAGACTGATACCTAGAGGTGCTTGCTATGTGCTCTTTAGATGCAATTTTTACTTCAAGTATACATTGGTGCCCATTTACACATCTACATTCCAATAACATGTGCAGTGACGTGTGAATTACTGCATAGCACATCAATACATGTTAAAGGCTCTGCTGCACTGCGTAGTGTAGTGTAAAGTGCGTTGCAGTGCCAAAACTGTGCATATCCAATTTCTGGCATTTTAGGGTGCTTTGGCAGTAGATGCATTTCATAATGTGCATTAACACACATGTGTTAGCACACTGCTAATGTGGAAATGGACTCTAAAGCTGCACTCCAGGAAAAAAGCCAAATGCACAGATAAAATATATATATGGGAGCTGTTTTTAACAGCAAAAAAACGATAATTATATTTGTCTGCTTATTCCTGAGATTTACATAGTCCTCCCAGATAATGAAATCATACTGGTGCTGAATTTGCGCTACTACAATTAATACTATTAGGTCTTATCCCTGCCTACAGTTATTGAATGGACACTGAAAAAAGAAGCAGCACACTGATGAACTCATCTCTTTTTCATATATCCACCCCCTACCCTCAGTGATTAAGAGGTTACTGATTCACCAAGAAAGTTAAATTGTAAATAAACACACAATGTCTTGACAAAATCCTTTATTAACCATTACAGGACCAAGCATTTTAATTAAACCACTGGTCAGCAATAGTGATTTTTTTTTTATGCTTAAAGTGAAATATTAAAAATCCCAATTCCTCTAAATTACATGCCTTAGGTGTCCTCATCCTGCCTGTGAAGGGGTATATATCTGTGATTTACATAAAGTGTTTGCAGCAGCACTGACATTTACAAAGAAAAAAAAGTGTTTAAAATTGCCAGCTGGCCAGTGGTTGTGGGAGTCTGCAGGCAGAACTTTTTTTTTTTGTGCAGGTCGGCGGGTGGAATTCATCGTGATTTAGTTCAAGGGACCTTTTTTTATTTTGCAATAAAGGACTTGTCAAATGCTAACTCTAAGTTTTTATGTACTTTGGCATGTATTTATTTGGTGAATGAGCAAGGGTATAATGTACCCCATACTCATTTGCATGGGAGGGCAGAACCTGGGGTCCCGTTGTTAAAGGGGGTTCCAGATTCCGATAAGTCATCCTCCACACCCTCACAACCACTGGGCTAGGGTTGTGGGAATGAGGGCCTTGTCCTTATCAACATGGGAACAAGGTGTTTTGGGCGGGAGTCCTAATAAAAAGGTGGGGAAAAGGGAGAATTAGCAATCCAAAAAACATGTCTTTTATGCACCTTAGAGGAGTTGAAGGATTCTAGTTAACTACTAACAAGACAAGGGAAAATTATTAATGGACTGTGTGCTGACATAATAAGCTTGATCCAGGTGACCAAAAAAAAACCATGCAAATAACTTCAGAGCAAAGACACCACAAAAAAAGCAATCACCAACCACAGGACCCTGCAGCATTCTATCAGCCACAAAAAAAAAAAAAAGGAATCAGTCTGAGTAGCAAAAAAATGTTATTACATAAACTATGACATAAAATACAAAACATTAAAAACATATTTGGGTTCTATATAAGATGTCTGATATTTGCATTTGTAGGGGGAGGAGGAAAGGAGCAATTAGCAGGCCAAAAAACATGACTGATATGTGCCCTAGAGGAGGAGGAAAATTAGGAGCTGTATTAGGAGTTCATAGAAATGGCTTATATGCATGATTTGGTGGGAAAGGACAAGGAGAGAGAGCACATTAGCAACACTTGCGGGCTGGTCTGTTTCCCCACTTCAATACCATCTGCACCATCAAAACTGAAAAAAAATCAGTTCCCCAAAACCACTCCGCAGTGTGACTCTCGTATATTTTTAACTGTTGAAGGAAGATTTGGGGAAGAGTGGGCAGGCTATGGCCTTCGTTTAAGAAAAGGGACAAGGTAGTATCTAGGCCTAGGCCTTTTTTTGTTATTGTATGGAGTAATTTTTTTTAAGTGTAAATAATGGCCAAAATAAATGTAAATAACAGCCAGAAACAACATCCAGATGAACCTCTTAGGCAGACTTTCACTGCCCCTGTGCCCATCATAGAAAGATTTGGGGATGGGCAGGAGGTCTATGGCCATAGGAGTATACACTTAACTTTTTCTACTGTCTGTCCTTCTCCTGGCCATAACCCCCTCCTCCTTCTTTTCCTCCATGTTGTTTGCCCTTTCACCTGTACTGTGAAGGGTAGGCTGCCTTTTAAATTTATGCTAAACTCTTCCTCCTCAATACCAGCACCACATCCCTCCTCATTGCCAGAAATGCAACCTTCCTCCTCCCATGGCAGGATTAGAAGAGGAGGAGCTGCTTCAGTAGAGGGGAAAAATAAATGGTGCATTAACAGTCCTAAATAAAATGGCACATTTTGGTACCTTTTGTTGCCAACATATCTTACTGAGATGCTGCCCCCCATCTGTAGTGTAAATTAAGGTGTTCCCTCATGCTTGTGGTACCTAAATGGCTGGTACTTTCACCTTGGCTGATACATTGCAGGCAGAAGTTGCAGTCTACAATGTTGGTTGATACATTATTAAAATAGAAGTATAGCCAAAGCTTGTTTGGTCATACTTCTCATGTGGATCACTGGAATGCACTTACTTTTCCACTGTTGTGCCCATAATCAGCCAACAGCATTCCAAAGACCGCTGTCAGCTGACATCACAGAGCTGCTCCAGTCTCTGGATTTATCCCAAACGTAATGTTGGGATTTAAGCTGGCTTAGCCGCTCAGCCTGCTTCTGGGAACCTGAGTCAGTCACTCATGCCCGCTGCACAGTCCAGTGCTCCAGTGCACGTTGGAGGGGCAGAGCATAGAGTGGTGACTCACAGTCCTCGATTTGTGCTAAAAGTGGACCCAGGAACTGAGTGATAAGCAATCACATGGTAGCTCAGTTCTTGGGGTTAGAGCCAGCAGAGGACAGCTGCAGCACTGGACCCCACACTGCAGCCATATAGGTGAGCACGTATGGCCCACACTTCAGAGCTCTTACTATTTGCTGCCTCTTCAAGTGATTATGTACTGCCCCGCTGCTAGCCAATTAGTGTAACAAACAAATGCCTGAAGTCTAAATTTGGAATATGTAGGGAATACTTCTCCATACAGGGTTTGGAGATGCTTTGGTAATTTTGAGTTGAGGTTTTGAAGTGTTTTTTGTGCATTCTGTTTTGACTGTAATAAACATTTAGGACAATGCAGTGTGGTAATACAAAAATGTATTTTGCCACTAGCCAGTTTGTATGCAGTTGTAGGCTTTAGCTTTATTTTTTTTAAGAATAAACTTTCGTAACGGTTTTAGATCTGTTGTGGCCTGTACTTCTTATTACCGCTGGATAAAAGTCAGGTGTTTATAGCCAAAACTACCTTAAAAAGGTCCTTTTCAAGTTGTAATAAATCAGATTGGGTCACTACTGCTGTATTTAAGGCAAGATAAATGTAAAAGTAAAATCAATTACACAATGAAAAATCTGTGATGACAGAATACAGTATTGCTGATGCTGTCTGTGAGAATCCTGTGAGAATCATACTGTTATGTAACACTAGATACAATTTAAAGGCATCTCCCAAGCATGTAATAGAAAGGACTGGTGTTTTCCCCATGGCACCTGTATCACTACCCCCTTAGGAGTCACTAAAGATTTGGGTCCCCATATAGTACTTCACAGCCAGGCAACACGCATTTTCTTCAGACCTTGCACTCCAGAGACAGTATAGAGTCCTTGAGCTTGTTTTTTTTGGATTTTTTTTAGGGGATGATAACTTGTTTGGGGATGAGGGATACATGGGTTTCTCAAGGAACTGTAAAACTGAGGACAACTTCCTGGAACTATGTACAAGTAGTCAGAAAGGGCTTTCTCCTCTCTTCTTGGAGAGCTATCCAGCCTGTACCTCCTCAGACCCCAGATGAAATCTTCTCTTCACCCAGCTGCCCGAGGGAATCCCTGGCCAAGAGGTCCCAGAAGCTGCCACCTTAAATGAAAGCAGTCCCAGATTGGGGCTAGTCAGGTTTCCCACCCAAATGTCCTTTCCCTTTATCCGGCCCAGGGGGTGTGGGGTTACTCACTCAGTCTCTCCTGCAAGCTTGTGGGTTGCTGGCTGCCTTCAGGCCTTACACTGGGCTGGTTCCTTCCCTGTTTCACAGGCTGCCCTCTCTCAGGGGACGGTGAGGCTGAGAGATCCTGCCTTCCAGCTCCTCCATCTGTAGGTAGATCCCTCTCCTTGAACCCCTCCCAGGTTCCACACACCATCCTCCTCAGTCCATTTTCCACCCGAACTCTCCTGCTGCTGAGTAGGCTCTCTCTCTTTTAAGGGTTTTCCTGGCCCCATCCTGTTGGGGATTGGCCAGGATCCTTCAAAAGTGCTGATCAGCCACTCCCTACCTCCCCCCACTGCTTCTAGTACTTTCTCTAAAGTTCTAGTGCAGGGGGAAGTCTCAGAGAGTTGATTTGTAGAGCCTTTCAGCTCCTGACTACAATTTGACCCCTCTCACTATCACACCTGGGCTGTTACTCAGCCCTTATCTGTCAGTCGAATTATAGCTCCTCCTAGCTGCCTAGGAGGGTGCTACACACCGTTGGAGCTCTCCCCATTGTGTGGTAGTTTGTTTTTTTTTTTGTATGTCCCCCATGACAGTACCCAGCTCCCCTTGTCTTTAATTTGATAACCCCTTGCCTATCAGCCTTGAAAATAGCCAGAAATGATTTTCAGGAATTGTTCTTCAAAGACTTCAGTGGTGTCCAGATTAAAGTCTTCAAATTACTGGCTTCACGATGGACACAACAAACAGCCTGCAAACCAAACTCAGGCTGATTTGCTCATCCCTAATAAACACATACCAGCATGAACTGGTCTTTTTTCTGCCAGAAGTTCAGCTTTAAGTTGTTTCTAGTTATATTTTTGACTTTATATGTACATTAGGACAGCCATATTATTTATGATACATGTAAGCTGTAATTCCTGCTTATTAGTGCAGTACAGTGACTGCATTTTAGTACTCCTCATATATCAGTAAGAGTGGCTTATCATGTAGTGTATTTATTTACAGAAGTCATGCAATTAGGATGCTTACCGCAAGGCCAGATATACAGATAGTCACTAGCAGAATAACCCACAAAGTCGCACATGATATATGACCATGATAACTAACACTGCAAGTAAATAAAAATGTAAAAATAGTAGCAAGATGTCTTTCAAGTGCGCATTCTAATAGTATCCTAAATCTTTTCTCCACTGAAAGTACTTGATTGTTTACCTTTAAAGGAAACCAGAAATTTTTTGAATCTATTTGTTTAACCACTAGCCTACAGGGCACTTATACCGCCTTCCTGCCCAGGCCAATTTCCAGCTTTCAGCGCTGTTGCACTTTGAATGACAATTGCGCTGTCCAACACTGTACCCATATGAAATTTTTATCATTTTTTTGTGACAGAGAGCTTTCTTTTGGTGGTATTTAATCACCAAAAGAAAAAAAGTTTTTTCTTAGTTTTGTAAATTTTGTAAATAAGTGATTTTTTCTCCTTCACTGATGTGCGCTAATGAGGCTGCAGTGGTGGGCACTGATAGGCTGCACTGATGGACACTGATAGGTGGCACTGATGGGCACTGATGAGGAGGCACTGGTAGGGGGCACTGATGGGCATTGACAGGCATCACTGATGGCACTGAAAGGCAGCACTCATATATGGCACTGATAGGTGGCACTGATAGGCAGCACTAACTGGCACTGATAGGCGGCACTGACTGGCACTGTTAGGTGGTATTGACTGGCACTGTTGGCAGCACTGATGCACACTGATAGGCGACACTGGCTGGCACTGATAGGCGGCACTGACTGGCACTGATAGGTGGCACTGATTGGCAGCACCGATAGGTGGCACTGACTGGCATTGATAGGTGGCACTGACTGGCACTGATGGGTGACACTGAAAGGCAGCTGAGATGGGCACTGATATGTGGCATTGATGTGCACTGGTAGGCATTGAAATGTGGCACTGATGGGCACTGGCAGGTGGCATGGATGAGCACTGACAGCTGGCACTGATGGACACTGACAGGTGTCACTGCTGGGGCTACACAGATCATCAGGGCGCACTGATCATCAGTGCCCTGATGATCAGTGTACATGTCCCCTCCGAGGAATGCCGATTACCGGCTTTCCCTCTCCTCACAACGCTGTCAGTGTGACAGCGCGTGAGGAGAGAAATGCTGATAACCGGCATTTCCCTATTTACATGTGATCAACTGTGATTGCACACATCTGATCACATGAGCGAGCCAACATCTTCGGCTCTTTCCGTTGATTGGCGATCCGCTGTGTCCATCGATCACATGCGCGGTTAGAATGGTAGGATGCCATATGACAACCTCCCAGAACGAGAGAACCCCCTTGCACCCGTCATTGTACTATATGGCGGGCGGGAGGCGGTTAAAGAGACCCTGTCACCGCCCCATGCATGTGAGGATTAAAAAATATCAGGTTAACCACTTGACCCAGTTCTGACATTTCTCACATACATGTAAAATTCAGCATTTTTTTGCTAGAAAATTACTTAAACCCCCCCCAAACATTATATTTTTTTTTAAGCAGAAACTCTAAACAATAAAATGGTGAGTGTTGCTTTTTTTATGTCACACGATATTAGCGCAAAGTTTTTGGAAAAAATATGCTTTAATGCATTTTAGTGTACACAAAGACATTATACACAATTTTTGATGAAATATAAAAGAATATGTTATGGCAAGTAATTACAGTAGATACAAGACATGTCTTGCTTTAAAATTGCACACACCAGTGGAATGGGAAAAAAAACCATGGTATATTAAATTACCCATAGGCATTGCTTTAAAAGCCTTTATAGGTCACCAATTTAGAGTTACATGGGAGGTTTAGACCTAGAATGTTTGCTCTCAATTTGGCTTTCATTGTGAAACCTCACATGTGTGGTGCGATTTCTGTTTACATAAGCTTGCACGACCTACATGTGAGTTCACCATTGTGCATGAGCACAGGAGGTTAGGCGCACTTCCACCACCTGTAAAAGTGATCCATTGGCTGTATAGCCACTTGGACCACTTTTACATAAAAAAGATATGTCTGATGTAAAAAAAAGTACAGGGATCATGGTTGTAGTCTCAACCATGATCCCAGTATAACCACCTCAATACAAGATTATATATATATATATATATATATATATATATATATATATATATGTGTGTATGTACAGCAGTATTACGGTGCTTAATCCAATCTACTCTATACAGAAAAGCCATGACTCCTTTTATTTATTAAATTCAAGCTGCTGGTATGCTGCACACCATTCCTCTACTCCTTATCCCAGATGCTCTGCATTTCAACCTGATGCCTCTGCACTCCCTCCTTGGTACTGATGCCACTCATACTCTTGGCAGTGTTCTGGAAAGCCTGGTGTGATCTCCAAAGGCACTCTTATCCACTCAAGCATAAGGTGGTGATGGGGTCACTTTAAGTTATGCAGGAATAGGAATTTGATCTACAGAATGCTAATATAAATCAATATTATGCACTAGTAGTTTTAAAACATACAGTATCTTCTTTCAATATTGAATAATTTTATGATCTGTGTAGATGAGGGGCAGCTATATGTGTTTATTACTAATATTTTAGGTTCAAGGGAAATTCCACAAGCATGCTGTTTCAAGATTTGGTGATGTAGCTCAGGGCAGACTTGTAAACGGCTTTGTATGTTATTGTTAACGTTTTGTATTGCTTGGGTAATGGGAAGCCAGTGGAGGGATTGGCAGAGAGGGGTGGCAGACACTGAATGGTTGGTAAGGTGGATGAGCAGCAGTCCTGATAGACGGAAGAGGATATAGCCTGTGAAGAGGTAGGTCTGTGAGGAGGGAGTTTCAGTAGTCAAGTCAAGAGATAATAAGGGAGTGAATAAGTTGCTTAGTGGTTTCAACAGTTACAAAGGGGCATATTTTGGAGATGTTACGGAGGTGAAGTCTACAGGATTTGGACAGCTATTGGATTTGGTGCTGAAAGGACAGGTCAGAGTCCAGGATAAATTTAATGTTCTCTGATTAGGTTCTGAGTAGGGGCCATATGTTTAGGAATTTATCATGCTTATCCTCTGAAATGGCAATCAGTTTTTCATTGATCATTGCGCCATTCAGCCAAGTTTTAGCCTGTGAGAAGCCCAACTGAGGTGATGTCCACAAGTGAACTATAGTTTCTTTAGTGGCACCAAATATAAATGCGATCATTTTTACTGTATTATGTCAAATATATTGAATCAGTTTCTACTTTAACTTTTTATCAATACTTTGAAGGTCAATGGAAGGTAATAAGAGTGCAAATCTTCACAATTATGACACAGGCAGGGGCGGACTGACCATTTGGAAACTTGGGCACTGCCCGAGGGCCCGGGGTCAGTAGGGGGCCCCATGTGATGCCCCTGGTACCTTTTTCATAGGTTTTTTTGAGTTTGGGCAAGGACACAGAGGCCAGGGGCCCATGAGTTGTCAGTCCGCCCCTGGACACAGGTAATGAAACTACAAAGGATCTAACTCTTCTACACTCTATTCAATAACAGTTAATGGTTTGCCACATTGCTGGACTAAGCATGATACAGCACATATAACTTTGCACACCCTTAAAACTAAAATAACTATTTTTCATTGTTTTTCTAATGAAGATGTTTCCTTTCAAGGGAAGGAAAAGAAAGCACATTTCTGCTGTTTTGTTTTTTAGAATATTTAATTGCTTTCACATTAATATAGACCTAACCATAGACCCTGTAAACTGAAATTGACTTTAAGAAGATTTTTTACTGCAATTCAGAGATAGTTATGTACCTGAAATTGTTCAGTGCCAATGTGTCAGACGTTTCACAGAAGTTAAAATAAATGAAACACTCATCTGACAGTTTTATGTTTTTATAATAATCCTTGAAAATGCCTGCAGTTGTTCAATTTAAAAGAAAGATTTCAAACTTTTCTAGCAAATGTAGTATAAAGACTGCACAAAAGATTTGTTAGGGTGCAATAAGTATACTTCAGAAGAATAAAAGTTTTATAGGTTTACTCAATAAACCATAGTTGGAGCAGAATTCAGTAACCCATAGTGACTGATTAGAATTTATTTTATGGGACCAGAACAAGATTTTCAACTGGTTGCTGCAGGCATTTCCTTCTGTTCTTTTTTACCTTAAACTTTTTCATTGACTAAGTCCATAAATGTAATTGAAGGAATCATAATTAAACAAATGTGTATCTGTGTACAATAAAATAGTTTTGAACAGTCAAGACATCTTACTTTACTAATTCAAAAGATGCTTGTTTTAAAATAGAAAAACATTTTAAAGTGTCGAAAAATATTTAGCTTTCCAAATCTTCAAACTCTACCAAGGTCTCGTTATGATATTAGCAGAGAAAATAAATGTTTTATTGCATTATGAAAAATGGCCTTGATTTATAAAAGACAAAACGGAAGTTAATTTATTGCCCACAGCAAGCTGTCATTGTTCTAGCACCAGAGAGAAAATGTGACACATCCAACAGATTGTATTAGAACAATCAAATGTTCTTTTACACCCATGACTTGATAAACCTAGACCCTTGTGTAAAGTTTCTTTTCCCATAAGCCTTCTTGATAAAAAACCTCTACTGAAAAAATATGAGGCTGTAAATAAAGAGTGTTTCCTTCATGAAGTACTAGTTGCCTAGTTGTCTTGCTGGTCTAATGGCTTCAATTGTTTTAAGATCATTGATAATTGTCAAACATCATTTCTGAAAAATTATTAGCAATAGCAGTGTCTATAATACTCTCAGTCCAGGTTTACTTTAAAGAAGGTCAACAAAAATATTCACACTGTGCAAAATCCACCTAAAAAAAATCTTGGTTACACTAATCACAATTCATCCTCGCCTGCATGTAAGAGTAATAACTCTCATGTACACCTCCAAATCAGCAAATTGGTGGCAGACTTCACATTACATTATTATGTCTCAATTCTTTGTATGGAGAATTGTGCCACAGTTAGTTTAGTGCTTTTATCCTCCTGGGCTTATCATTTGTACCATACATAGAAAACAGGTGAATATTCAATAGTCACATTGAATTATACTTGTTCTGTAACACTGAGGACTTTTTATAACTTCACCAAGCCATTTCTTTAATTCCAATAAATGACAACATGTACGAAAAGAACTCAATGGTAAAGATCAGAATGTTCAATACATTTGTACTTTTTTAAATCATATTGCATTTACTGCCAACAGCATCCTTGTATATTCCTGACCCAGGTTTCACCCAATAGGATTTCCCACCAGTATTGTCTGTAGGGTTCCATATGGGGGTTCCACAAGTTCCCAGAAGCAAGTTACCATGCATTCCCTGCAATATGAATTTCAGTTTTGGTGAGATACTCCCAAAGGGTTAACTACTTCTAATGGAGTGCATTAACTGCAAGTTTCCTCATTGACAGTGCAACTGAAGCTTATAATGAACCAGACCCTCCCATTCATGAATCAGTATGGAAAAAGATGTTGAAACAAACAGAAAAAGGTAGTAATCTGCAACAACCTTTGTTAAAATCCTTACAATGTACATAGATTGCCTAAAGAGGATTATTTTTCCAACAAAAGTGGAGTTACACTTTAAGCTCTAGTATGACTTCCAGACATGGCAACTAGAGATGAGCGAATCGAACCAGGCGAAGTGGAATTCGTTTCGAATTTCAGGAAAAATTTGATTCGTGCCGAATCCGAATATTAGCCAACTTCGGGTGCGCGAATCGGATTTTTTCCCGATCAGCCGGAAAAAAGTGTCCCTGCAGAGAGCTCCGCTATTTCTGACAGTTCTCTGACAGTTCCTTCACATTTACAGCGGTTGAAACATTGTATCTATTTGTTTCCATTTAGGATACAGATGTTTTTATTCGGAAACAAATAGATACAATGTTTCAACCGCTGTAAATGTGAAGGAACTGTCAGAGAACTGTCAGAAATAGCGGAGCTCTCTGCAGATACACTTTTTGCTGTACTGGAATACTTCTTCTTTTCATTCTTCTTCTTC